TTTTTCACAAACTTCCTCTCATAACCTTAATGTGGTAGCTTACAATTAATCAGCTTATAATGTGTCTCACCTAATAAATTATGGCTAATTAATTATAAGTTATCATATCGAAATTGTGAGAGAAAATTTATGAGAAGATGTTAGGATCTAGCATTACTATTTATGATGGGTTTAAGTTTTCAAATATTCAACATATGTATAAACCAATTTTGATAATATTGATTAGTTAATAGCCACTAATTAAAGATTAACACCAGCTTAATCCTAATTAATTAAAAATTATATTTCTAATTTAAAAGATTTTAGTGGATGCTCATTTGCTAGCTAGTGTATATAAAGTCTGCATGCAAAAGAAGCACCGGATCATGAAATTCTCCACGTGTCGTGCAGTTTGGGGTGACTGATTGAGTCAACGGCAATTGGCGGGTAACTTATGAGGTCTACATAGAATTGGCCAAAGTCAACTATTTTCATTTTGCTAAGTAGTCGGGCGTGGCCCTGCTGTGACTTACTTGAAAATTTGTGTCTTGTAGTTGTAGTTCTCTTGGGCCCAAACATTTCTGAGTCCAATATCTTTTTTCTAATTAATTATATAAAATAATTTTATTTTAAAGATATAATTTTTAACCTAATCTTGGGCTCATTATATGATAATTCATCAATAATTATCAATCAATAAAATTATAAATCAATAGTAAAAAGCATTTATTGCGCATATTTTCTCTTTAAAAAAAAAGAACTCTACTCCATTGGTTAGACTGATTCAACCACTCGACCCAGGACTCAGCCTTTTGGCCAGGTCACACCCCGATGGAGTTTTAAAACATTGGTTTTTCCTAAACTTTTTCTTGATTTTCATGTTTTATTATAAGAGTGTTTAAGTAAATTAATAAACTTAAAGGGTGTTTTTATTAATTTCAAATCCTATCTTGTAATAACCATCAAACTCTAACTTTTTCGAAAACTCTATCTAAAATAATAAAACAAATATAACAATTGATTATATCTATCCAAAGTGAGGTTTGGTCGCTTAACTTTACAAACTTTAAAATAAAAATTCGGTGATTGGCATTTCTTACCTTTGATCCGTATGTTAAAAATTTTAAGACTTCCACACTATTTTCTATAAGTGCTGGTTCAATCCTTAGACAACTAGGACAATTGTTTAGGACCTCGTGCAATTTAAGGCACCAAAAGTATTAAAATTAAATCTTTATTTTTACAATTTTAATATATTTAAAATTTAACTTGCGTCAAAATGTAAAGTCAATTGGTTTTCTTAAATAATTTGTTTTTTGTGTAACTATCATTAAACTTTATTTTAGGGTTATTATTTTACCTTTTTAATATGAATCGAAATTCCTTCTAATAAAAATTTAAATGACAATTTTGATTATATATTAATTAATAATTTTAAATATATATTTATTATACAAAATAGAGTAAACAACATGTTCCCACCCAAAGATTAGCTAAATTCAAAGGTCCCACCCCTGGTTTCATTTATTCCATATTTTCATCCTTAAATTAATAGAAAATCATTTAATTTGACGTTTAAAGGGTAAAATGGTAATTTGAATTGCATTAAATCTTAAATAAAAATAAAAAATTCAACATAACCCTTAAATCTTAAATAAAAATAAAAAATTCAACATAACCCTTTACATCTCAAATTTCTTTCACAAGCACCCCTCATCACTCCCCTCCCTCGCGACAGCTGTAAAAAATTAGATCTGGTCGAATTCCGTCGCCATTGGACATCATCGCCACCACCACTAGCTTCCCCCACTCATCCCCGATAAAATTCATCTATCCCCCAGCCTCGTCCGCCTCCATTTTGGTCGGATTTGAGAATTTTCTCTGCGATTTTCCCCTCCCTTGCGGCTGCCAAAAGAATCCAGATCTAGCAGGATTCCAGCGTCATTGATAGCACCGCCACCACCACTAGCTTCCCCCACTCATCCCCGACAAAACGCATCCATCCCCCAACCTTGTTCGCCTATATTTTGGTCTGATATGAGCCTTTTATCAACGATTTTCCCCTCCCTTACAGCTGCCCAAAAACCCAAATCTAGTCGGATTTTGGCGCCGTTTAACATCATCGCCACCACCACTAGCATCCTCCACTCATCCCCAACAAAACCTATCCATCTCCTAGCCTCGTCCACCTCCATTTTGGCTAGATCTGAGCCTTCTATTGGCGATTTTTCTCTCCCTCGTGGCTGTCAAAAAAATCCAGATCTAGCTGGATTCCAGTGCTGTTTGACATCACCGTCACCACCATTACCTTCACCCACTCATCCTTGGCAAAATCCATCCATCTCCCAGCCTCGTCCGCCTCCATTTTGACCAAACTAAGCCTTTTCTCCCTATTTTCCCTTCCCTTGTGGCTGCTAGAAAAATCCAAATCTATTTGGGGTTAAAAAGTAATTCACTAACTTATTTGTAAGGGTAGTTTGGTAATAACACTCCCCATATTATGTTAGAATCCAAAAATCATAATTTAAAGGTGGGAATATGAGATAAATAAAATCAAGGGTGGGAAATTGGATATTCGCTAATCTTTGGGTGGGAACATGTCGTTTACTCTACAAAATAAGTCTTACTTTCATTTTTACTTCCCCAAACATTTTTGTCTTGCCTTTATGGCAACCCAAGGGCCAAGTATTGCCTTTACACCTTGCCCCACGGGTTGCACCATTTCCTTCTTCAACGTGTTTTACTAAATATGCACGTGTTTATAAAAGATTTTCCACCTAGAGAAAATTAACTTGGGTATGTAATGGAGGAGTCAATGTAAGGTGTCTGGTATCTGTACACTGGTCTGGTCTTGTATTGATATAAGTTTCTGTTTACCTTCTTGAAGATATTGGAAATGAAAGCCCTTTTTCCAAGCCGCTTGTCTGGTTTTTCATCTCTCTCTTTGCATCATGAGGTATAGGTTGTTTTTCTTGAATTTCCGTTTCTGTCTTCAGTTACAAAAAAGCTGAATTCTTTGTTCGTCTTCTTCTTTTGTTTATATGTTTTTGGGGTGCTACTATGTTAAATTATATTCCAACTCAGTTGCATTTATTTATCTAGACAAGGAGAAAGGGAAAAGGGAACTCAATACAAATCCTGGGGAACTCTTCTTTTGCCAAGCATGCCGTTCTTCTAGTAGTATAACATTCATATAGAAGCTAAACTTGTCCGTATCTACATGTTCTCTTTTTAGTATTAACACCATGTTGTGATATAAACATTACATGTTCTCTTTTTAGTATTAACACCATGTTGTGATATAAACATTGTTTTAAAAACGGGACCGTTCATTGACCTAGTTAAGGAGCCGGTTCGTGGGTTGGTTGGACCGGTCGGTCTGACCGGTATATAACAGTCACATCTTTAAACAATTCTTTTAATTGTTATAAGTTTAAAAACCAGCAAATACATCCCTAAAACTTACTTATAAACCCCTATAAATTTAAAATAAAGCAAATACGCCCTACAGATTTTATTATTAATTATTTTTTTCTCTCTCCCCATCACTTCCATCTTTCTCCTTTTTTTTTTTCTCTCTCTCCCCATCACGCCATCACTCCCCATCACTTTCTTCTTTCTCCTTTTTTCTCTCTCTCCCCACCACTCCCCTTAACTTTCTTCTTCTTTCTTCTTCCTCTTTCTTCTCTTTCTCTCTTTCTTCTTCGACTCTTTCTCTCTTTCTTCTTCCTCTACTGTAATTTTTCTCTCCTCTTCTCTTTCTTCTTCCTTCTCTTTCTCTTCATCTCCTCTTTTCTTTCTTCTAATCTTCTTCCTTAACTTTTTCTCTTGTCTCCTCTTCTCTTTCTTCTTCCTTCCCCTCCCCTTACTTCTTCTCTTTACCCGTAGATTTTAGAGTAACTGAAGAAGAATAGAAGATAAAAATGGAAGATACAATTTGGTTTTTTTATTCAAATGAAATGGAGAATGAAACGGTGTTACAAATTGGTGTAAGAATTAGGAATATGAATTTTTTTGGATTAGATACCCAAAAATAGGGAACCGTTTTAAGCCTTGGACCGGTCGGACCGATGGTTTTGTACTGTTCCGCTGTCCATTACCGGTCCAAAACAGGTTTAATAATATTTGCGGTTTTATGTTAACGCGGACCGAAGTAAAGGCCGGCTCTCAATCGAACTGGTTGGACCAACCGGTCCGGGTTTTAAAACAGAGGATATAAAAGCAGCTTTTTCTTCTGGAAATGAATCATTCAACCCCATAAAGAAATGAGTTTTCGTTTTTTATTTACAGGGTGACTGGCAATTGTTTAAATGCAACCTCTTGTCCTGCAAGCCCACCCAAATCCAGCAAGACCAGTAGCCCTTCAAGCCCACTAACTCCGAACCTACCAGTACCCTCACCGAACCTGACCAGCCCAACTAGGAAGAGCCCAACAACACCCAGAACAAGCCTGACCACTAACCTAACAACACCCGCAACAAAGCAAGTTGAAACACCCAAAGCCCAACCAAAAATGAGACGACTCCACTTGCTTTCCAAAATACAATACCAAATTCAAGCGGTTTCATAATAAATAACAAACTGGCTATTTCATTGGGAGTCTTAATTCAACTTTTTGTATCACTTTCTGTCATAACTGGGAGATTTTAGTTGTTCATTTTTCATATAATTTTATGTTTCCACGATGAAATGCTATCACAAGATAATTGATTGTTAAGATTTAATTTCTTTTAGAAATAAAGGTACGGTTGTTCCTCATACCATAATATCTATATAAACGCAAATGATAATTCCTATCTACTCTATAACACAATAACATATTCATCTTTTCTTTTTTTAATATGGTATCAGAGTTAAAAGGTGTCACAAGCCACGATTTCTTTTAATATAATATCAGAGTTAAAAGGTTAAACAACTTTAACATGATATTAGGGTTGAAAGGTCTCACGACTTCTCTTAGTTATATATGCAGACAAAATCAACTTAATAATTCCAACATAATAATTGTATTTTTTTTTTATATAATTTGCTTTAGGAAGAAAAAAATGGTCCTAGAAGTCCTATATGGAGTTACACTATTTAGCAAAGCATGTTCATAAGTTAAGCCAAATCTCTAAACTAACTTCTAAACTTCACTGAAAAGATCTTGCTAGTCGGCATATAAACAACAGAAAGAGTTTCAATTTAGGAACATACAAGAGCCTTGATGCACAAAAACGGTGTACCTGTTACGAGAGTGCCTTAAACATGACCTTCGAGTTCTTGGTTTATGCCAGTGCATGAAGTATCCGTTGCATTTGGGCACTAATGCCAAACAACTTAGGAAAGTTTTTACCGTAGTTTTATGAACTTTAAGATGTCATTGTTATATATCCAAAAACCAAAAATTTCCGTGAAGGTATATGCATTTAGTGCTCTAATCTGAATCTGAAGCTTCTCCGAAGTACAGCAGAAGGAAGTTCCAACATTGCCCCATGGACGATTGCTTCTATGCATCTTGCAAAAGTATTTCATAAACATCTGTCCTCAAATTCAGTTCCTTATCCCGCATTACTTCTTGGAGATCTGAAAGCTCTTTTGCAGTTAGGATGGAACTCAGTTTGAAAAAACCATCAAGCCATAGTTTTTTGACCTGACAAAAAAAAAAAAAAAAAAAAAAAAAAAAAAAAAAAAAAAAAAAAAAAAAAAAAAAAGGATCATAAATGTTCAGACGAAGAATAAGCAACCTGTATCTCAAATCCAAAAAGGCCATCGTGGTCGTGTACACTGCCATGCTCTCCCAACAGGCATAACTAACTTATCAGAACCTACTCAGCCATCCAAGCATGCAGTTTAAATACATTTTTATTTAAAAATTAGTCTTCAAAACTTCCCGACAAACAACAGCAACAAAACATAAGAACTAAAAGTGAGAAAGAAAAGAGACGAACTCATAATAATAAATGATGACACTTTGATAATAATAAATGATGACACTTTTGAGGAAATTGAGAACAATGTCAATGATGAAGGATCAATCAATAAATAAAGATAAGAATGAAGTAGAATACAAAGAATTTGAAAATTAAATAATTTCTTTCATGCTCAAAACCTCATAAAGGGAGGAAGCTCTTACCATGGGCAGGCATGAATAGCTCGGAAAAAGATTCGTCTAGCTGCAGACAGATTGCATACAATGTGAACCTCATATGCAATATACCAACGCCAGAGTACAACAGAACACTGCACTTTCTCATCTGCCAGTGCCCTTTCAAACAATCCACGGATTCTATGCTGTGTGCCTCCTCGGCTCATCTCAAATGCCAATGCAAAAATCCAAACAACTAGAGATGGTTTCCTGAAGAATAATACCAGTATAAGATTATCAAGGCCAAACAGTAATTATATGGATGAAGTCATACTAAGGGAAAAACATTGTCATGACACCACTTTCATGGCAATTACTTGATAGAAAAACAAACTTCATATTAGAAAAGGATCTTTGTAAAAGGTAATGAACCACATATCCACCACAGAGGATAATGACCATCTTACTTGTGACAATGGGCATCAAAGATCAAACGCAGCTTATTGGGTGTGGTATAAAGATTGCTGATTTCCACCAAAGTACTAAAGAGTTCTGGACTGTAAGGATATATCTGGAGTCCGAGCAAGATGGACTCCCATACTTTGGATATACTAGATTGCTTATGATGTCTCCAAAGCATTCTCACATTAAAGTTAAATAAATATTCAAGTTGATAACTGTAGCTTCTTCTTTCTGCAGGTTAAAAACACCAAATTAGTCACAGCAAAAGAGCAAATTACAGAATATCCTTATTTTATAAGAAAAAAGCTCTGAGTTTTATTAAAGAATTAAACTCTTCTACTAATAAAAGCCAATAAATTAAGATAGAAAGTAGTCCATATGCAAATATGAATGAATTCAATGTACCATCATAACATTGAAATTAACGTGCTCTCTTGGCAATTGTGCAGGATAACAGCAAAGTTCTACCATACAATCAATAGAAATGATGCAAAACCTTTCAATTATTGAAAGAAATGAAGCATTCTTTAAAATCTAAAAAAGAGATATAGGAGCATTAAAATATTCAAGAACAAAAACGAGAACAGAAGGCTTAATAACCTGGAAGAACCATGGTAAAAGCCTGATGTAGAACGTTGATACCCGCAGCCAGTCCACTGGTTAACTCTTCAAACAAAGCTGCTGAACAGATGAGAGCAATAGATTGATCATTTACAGCTCCACGTGCCCAACCTGATCGTACTGCTTTCATTCTTTCCATATATCCCTGGTGTGCTCTCAGTAGTTGTAAACTGGATGGTCGATTTTTAAACGGACTGTATGTTAAACCACTTCCTAAGCAAGACAGAATATGTATTGCACGAAATGATGATTCATGATCACTGCCAGGATTATTAGCAAGTTCCACCTCAGCATACCATAAATATAAAAGAGGAGCATTTGACTGCACATCCTGTTCATTAAATTAAGAGTTAATACAATACTAGGTTCTGACAATTGAAATACCCATGAATTAAATTTTAAATAAAATATTAGACTTTACCGATGGAAACCCATCAATGGATGACAATGCCATATCAAATATTCTTCTTGCATGATCAATATTCCCGAATAAAGCCTCCTTCCGTGCATAAACTCCACAAAGCAATATATCCTTTAGAAAATAAATAATTATATACAAATTATGAGCACCAAGAATTGTGAAATTAGACATGAAAATGCAAAGAGAATTGAAATTACATTTTACTTCCAAAAACAGAATCAAATACAATTCCACATAGCAATGGACCAATTCTACAAAGCAATGGATAAAATAAGGTTACCTTCCAAAGCATCTAAAAGGTACAATCCTTCAAGTCAGAACCCTTACCTTGACTTCCCACTTGAGCCAAGAAAAAGGAAATTTTCTATATAGCAATAAGATTGCCTTCTAGAGTATCTAAATGGTTTGATCTTCTAGACAAGCATGTTCAATTATAGCCCTGCCCCCTCACTCCAGCTAGACACCATAAGCAAAGCACAAAAGTAAATGTAAGTAGCCATCACACCTGGGTCCCCACCTTAATTGCTCTTTTAGGTACATAGTAAATGGTTATCATGATATAGATTAGTAGTTAGATTATTCCCTTCATTGATACAGTGCCTGGACAACAACATTAAACATGAGTATCACTTAACTGGATATCACAGTACTGAAAATCAGTTGTGATGCCCCTTTGTTAAGGGAAATTGCCTAAAAGCTTTTAACAATATCAAGGATATTAATAAATCCTTCTTGAGTTCCTGTGGTCGAATAGTTCTCCCATCACATTTACTCCTAAACATATTGGAAGACAACACTGAAGAACGTTATCGGAAGAGTACAATACATCACATTAAATATCATCCTACCATTCTGATAGGAACCCACCGCAACAACTCAAACAATTGGGCTGGACCATGGGTCTTTCATGGGCTTAGATAGAACTCTCCTTGGAAAACCAGCTTTCCAAGAGAGGGTGCCCAAGCTCTTTATAACCCATATGCCCACCATTTTCCCTCTCAATGTGGGATCCTATAACAATCTTATCAAAATGTGGATAGCTAGATTTAATTAGCACAAATGCCTAAATGGTTAATTTGCAAAAAAAATACCTGTCGATCACTTTTTAAGAGGCCCTTTGCCAATGCTCGGCATGGGGTAACAGAACTGCCACAAGAATTCATTTTTGTAACAGAAAGCTCTTCAGCAACAAGAGCAGCTTCTTCCAGGACATAATTACGTGGAAAAGCAGTTAAACAAAGTAAGATAGCATTGCGAAGAAATTTCATCATCTCAGTCCTCCTAGAAATGTCATTGGTGCTGCTCATAAGGATATCCAAAGAAAGACCATCTGAATGGTTCTCTGTCTTGGTTAGAACACAATCAACCTTTCTTATATTTTCTGATAAGAAATCTGGCAATTCCTCTAGGGTAAGGAGATTTTCACTCCAGCTTGAACTGTTAGTGCAAATCCTGGAAGAGAGGGGAAAAAAGGATACGTGAGAGATTCATCAATACATAGAAAAAAACACAGGATAAAAGAATGCATAAAAAACTAAAGATTCAAGACCGATAGTTATAAACAAGATACAGATATAGCTAGTGTGCATCAGTGTTTAAAAATTTATAAAGCCTAAGAGATACAGACTGATAACATGTTCATCACTAGTACACAGATTTATTACCATATAAAGCATGCTCCTGAGTGGGCAGTCATACAAGTATAATGTCTTTATTGTCTGTTGTTAACAGAGTTCATCACTTTTCTTCCAAGGGTCTCCAATTATAAAACATTGCGATCAGCCTGTAGGCATACTGAATTCTAATTTTTCCACTAAACCATGACTAGACAAGGGGAAAAATAAAATATCATTGTTTCCTATAATGTCCTTGCCACTAACTAGATGTTCCACCATCTCATACGGTTAAAAAATCATGCTTTAGTCCTCTTGAACAAGACTAGTGTTGCTCATGCCCAAAGAGAAAGTAAATATAGTCAAACAAACCAGTAGAAATTTTTCAGAACTTGGACAATTCTTAAATTGAGCCACTATAACTTCTGGAATTATTCACTTTTCCAAGAGAATGAAAAGATACATAACTTTTTGTTGTAGAAGAGAAACAACATAGATAAAACTTTAATAGCTAAAATACTTATAAATAACTTACCACTGAGATATTTTCCCGCCGAAGAAATCAATAAATTTGGTTACAAGATATGAGCGAGCCTCTTCTGAGCTTAGCGAAAACAGGTATTCCCTGACATCTTCATACAATATTACTTTCAAAAGTTGCTCATCTGCTTCTCCATTTCCATCACCACAAGAAATCTGATCTGTTTCACGGAACATTCAGTTAACTATATGTGTGGGGCACAGATGTAATTTTAGCTTTTTCTTAGTTGAGTAGGCATGCACAGATGAATAACAATAAATATACTTATTTTTCTCCAATGTTTGTCTACATAGACTTGCATTTACGTACACAGAAAAACAGAGATGAAAAGCACAAGCATGTTGAGAGAGAGAAGGGTAGGGAGGTAGAAAGAGACCATCTTTTGTGCGAACAGGCATCCACTGATTGCAATCTCTAGATGACTCTTCTTCAGCCCATCTAGTCCATGTTGAAGTGTCTTTAACCTCAGCATTGGCCCCTGCATCAATATCAATGCCTAAAAGTTTTAGTAAAGCTTCAGTATCATCTTCCTGATTTATGCCTTCATCATCAGCTTCCTCATCAAACTCCTCAGCAGCCACTTTATCATTGACTACATCTTCTGGATTTCTACTACTTTCGTTCTGTTTGGAAACTGGTTCGGACCAACCAGTCCAACCACCTTGATCATCATCATGTAAAGATTCCTCCTTCATAACCTTTTGTCTATTTTCTTCCTCTTTTTCCAACCACATAGACCAACCGAGAGCCCCTTCTTCCCCAACTCTTGAACCATCGCTGTTCCAAAAGTGCTCAAATAGTCTGTGTTTACTCTGCTCAGTTAGAAGTAAAGAAGGGCAAAACAAACTAAATTCAATTTCGGCCTGAAATAAAGCAGTGGCCAACTCCTGATAACCCGCCTGCCACTCCAACCTGCAAAGGCTGAGAAATATATCAACCAGACTAAGTTCCAGTTGAACAATAGCAGGGTCAGAGGAAGAGGGTTTGACAACTTGTTGAACCTGTACCAAAAGACAATGGAACAGAACCAACATAAGAAAACTTATTGTGCCTGGAGAAGTTCTTTCAAATCTTTATATTCATGGTACAAAATACTAGATAAAAGACACTATCCAAAACCTTTAGGTTACAAAGATATTGAGCTCATAATATGAAAGAACTTCAGTATTAAAGGAAAATAAAAAATACAAGACTTCTATACAAGTCTATGAAATTTTGAAATAAAAAGAAAGTCCTCAAAATCAAAAACCTATAAGTGCTTTGGTCAAGAAACCATGTTCAATTATTTGATCCAACCAAAGTTAGCCACTTTAAGTGATGGAACTCAGATGTTGAACACGCACATACAAGGTGTAATAGATGTGATATAATTGTAGTAAGGAGAAGCATTATTCAATATTTGTAAACAAAGGAGGTGCAATTTAAGCTAATCCTGAAGTTCTTAAGGTTACTTAAAAGCCTAAGACAACTATCCTTAGCAATCAAGATTTCCTTATAATGCAGCAACTGCTTCTACTTAAAAAGAAGATAAATCATTATAATGAAGGAACTTTAAATAACTATCTAGCCAGTCTATCACATGCCTGAAGAATCTTTTGCATCAATTCCTTCCTCATTTATCCACATCAGAAATACACTGCATATAACACTTAATCCACTAGTAGAAAATCTAGCACTATAAGACTATTGATTCAAGACATGCTCTACAATTTGTTATTGGCTCTGATTTTCCACAACGTTAATATCAGGAATGCAATGAATAATTAGGTTCAGGAAACAATAAAAATTCAATGAACATGTACAAGAAATTTTTTCGATATATTAACTTAAAAACCTGCCTAAACTGCTTGGTGCATGCAGCAGCTATGGCCTGGATTGCATGAGCATACATCTTTCTCATGTCTGAGACCTTAAATCTGGAAAATTCTCCCCGAACAACATGTAGAAACTCTCTCCACAACTTATAATTCCCTGAATGCTGCATGAGTACCTTCTCCCATCTACCAATTAATACATCAGTGTTGTCTCTTCGCTGATAGGATTTCATGAGAGAAAGCAGCAGTTCTTCATTATCTGGATTAAGCTCCACTGCCTTCTCCAATATGCTTATCTTCTTTTCAAGTATCTGTATACGAGCACCTTTCTGTGGTTGCTTACTTGCAACTGTGTCTTGGAAATCAGCGAAGGCTAACCAACCTTTTTCATCATAGGGATGCTCTCTTGTCAATTTGTTAAACTCCCTAGTTTTACGTAGCACTTCATCTTCCCAAGATTCTTCAAGAATTGAACTGTCTACACCTGAACCTTCATGAGACACTTCAGTTTCTATTAAAGGAATAAAATCATCAGCAACTGTAGCAGCAGACTTCTTGTCAGCAACAATGCGAACACGCTTAAGGTTCTTATTCCGCTCCACAGCTGAATATTTGGCAGACCAATACCGACCACCAGATTTTACTTTACTATCCATTTCATCAACATCATAATCTCCATCCAGTCCTAATCCCCTCTTGCGCAGGTAAAATCCTTCTGAACCAGATAATTTCCCAGGATTATGAAGCTTATAGCGTGGTACATCCATCCTACATTGTAATAGCACACCGTATCATAAATCTACTCCAATGCTTAGCAATAACCTCAAAGTGCTTTTCTACAATAGCTATTTGGAACATCAACTAATAAATTCTAAAGTATAAGTGTGATTTTATAATAAAAGAGTTTCTCCGATAAGAATTTCACCCAAACACTAGAAAATTACACATATTCCTTTTCTAACACGGTTCGTTTCATTTGATTAGTCATTTCTTCAAACAAGTTAATATAGAAAAAGAAAAGAAAAATTTAAGCATCCAATTACACGCCGTCGTTTTCGAATGAAATTACCTGTAAATACGACCATAGACTAAATTATCTCGATCTCCATGAGAATCAAAGTAATAATCTTTCGATTTCGTCGACAGGTACGAATCAAAATCTCCTCCTCCTCTCTCTTTAGATCTCTTTCTCTTCTTCTTTCGCTCCTTCCCCTTCTTCTTCTTCCTCGAACTCTCCCTGTCAGTCTCTTCTTCTTCTTCGAGTAATTCATACGACGGAGGCGGCGATTGCGGTGGACGTAGAACGTCGTCTTTTCCATCATCGTCGTCATCATCGTCACGTTGGTAAGTCGATGAGGAAAGAAGTACGGCGTCGTTTATGACGGAGAGGTCGGTGTTGAAACTGGCGTTGCAAAGCCATTGAGAAGCTTCATCGTTTTGAGTGTTGAGAGAGTGAGAGACAGAAGTAGAAGTAGAAGCAGTTGTTGGAAAGAGAGGGAAAAGAGAGGGCTTTGGTTTCTCTCGCTCTTCTTCTGCTTTCGCCTGCTCCTCCATCACCAATTTTCAAATCAATTTCTCTGGAATAATTGAATTGAAGGGAGCTATTCTAACACTGAAAAACTTTAAACCTCCCCTCGGATTTTCCTAAATTACAGTTCTCCTCTAGTTTGAGAATTATCACTCCCCTACCCTTCGTCTGTAGAGGATGGAAACGATACTTTCTAAACCATAGGGGGTGTTTAGAATTAAACTAAAGCTCGAAACTTATCACTTTATTCTTTGTAATTTCTCAATTTTCTTCCAGTTTTGAATTTCAAGTTTGGGTTTCAAGTTTTTCAATTAGAAAAATTTTAATTGTTATTTTTTTAGGGTTTTAAAATAAGTAAAAAACTTTTTCCCACCCAAAGTTTGCCTTAATGACCCTTTTTCACCCAAGTTTTATATTGTTTTAATACTCAAAATACATCTCACTTTCTTAGCTAGCTTTCGGCGAGTTATCAGGAGCTAAAGTAAAAGGTTTTGTAGAGTGGATGTTAATAGATCAAATGGTGGTGATCGATTGAATATTTACAACCAAAATCAATCGAAAATCAGCTAAGAACAAGAAACCCTAACCTTGTAATGGTCAATAATTAACAAGAAATTAGGTATGTGTAAGAGGTTTTATAGAGAAGAGACCGAAAGTTTAAATAATGGTGATGGAGAGAATTTTTGCCATCGAAATCAGTTGAAATCGGCTTTAGATGGTAACAAAATATAAATTTTAGCTGGAAAATGGGTATTTTAAAACTTTTCGGTTGCAAACCTTGGGTGGGAAAAAGTCGTTTACTCTTTTATAATTATAAACTGAATCTCAGCTTATTTTCTCCTCTTTGCCCAATTGAAGTGATTAAATTTCTTTTCTAGTCAATTTCTTTATTCATATTATTGTATGAGAATAGCGGGTGGAACAGAAAATAAAGAATTATTTGAAATTTGATACATCAATTTATCCACATTTAAAGAGGAGTTGGTGGTTTCAGATAGATAAATTGTATTAAATGCAATCCAACCTAATTATGGATTAGATCAAATTCAATATTGAACTAAAATCTACCTTATTCAACTTTAAATAGCTTCCACATAATACTCTTATTAAGTTCCTAGTACAAAACTGGGATACAAAACTCAAAAAGTTCATTGTGATAATCATAAATAATCCTAAACTATCAAATGTCCGTCCAAATAATAGTTAAAAGACATTTTTTCATTTATAGACTTTGAAAATATCATTTTATTATCTAAATTTATGATAAACAGAGAGTAAACTCGAGTCATATTATTGAGGTTTTTGAAGAGATGAGACATATAAGTTTTTTAATGGTAGAAGGTTAGGATTAATCGGAATTTGACTTGAGAAAAACGGTCACGCAAATCTTAATCGCTCGATTTTTTACGATTAATAAGGTTAGTAAGATTTGAGAGGTATTGGTGAGTGATAATAAATTATAATGATACTACAATCGAGACAGAATATAAATTTATATGATAAAATTGAGTGTGCTCTTATTTGTCTGGGAGAATGTCCTTTTTCTTTTTATTGTTTGGCTCCTTGGGACAACTAGGCGAGCTCAAAATCTGAAATCTTGGGTTTAAATTCAATGTCCCAGAGAATGTTTGCAGGTTTCACATTACAATAAATAATCCATTATAGATACTCATGGTAGAGATAGACTTGTCCCGTAACTGTTTCCACGGCAACATTGAACCTCTCTCTCCGCCCAAGAAAATCTTTCGGAGAGAATAAAGCTTCGTTTTGTTTACTTTTTAAAATACTATTCTAATTTTTTCAATAAAATTAAATCTAAAAATTTATTTATTTCAATATTTTCAAAATCATATTCTAATTTATTCATCTTTTAAAATATTAATGATTATCTTTATTCCAATTTTACTTTTTTTCCCAATAAATGTGTCTAAAGATAAATTTTCAGTATACTCATAAACTAGGAGTCTATCATTGGCTTCTGAATAAAGTCCCTGCATCCTCACCAAGTTCATCTGATAATTTTTCATAGTTTTAAGTGNGTATGAGAATAGCGGGTGGAATAGAAAATAAAGAACCATTTGAAATTTGATACATTAATTTACCTACATTGTATTAAATGCAATCCAACCTAATTATGGATTAGATCAAATTCAATATTGAACTAAAATCTACATTATTCAACTTTAAATAGCTTCCACATAATACTCTTATTATGTTCCTAGTACAAAACTGGGATACAAAACTCAAAAAGTTCATCATGATAATCATAAATAATCCTAAACTATCAAATGTACATCCAAATAATAGTTTAATGACATTTTTTCATTTATAGATTTTGAAAATATCACATCCAATTTATATTTTGGTGGTAAACAGAGAGTAAACTCAATTCACGTTATTGAGGTTTTTGAAGAGAGGAGACCGATAAGTCTTTTAGTGGTAGAAGGTTAGGATTGATTAGAATTTGACTTGAGAAAAGCAGTTACGCAAACCTTAATCGCTTGATTTTTTACGATTAACAAGGTTAACAGGAGAAAGGTTTGAGAGGTGTTGGTGAGTGATAATCGAAGAAAAAATGATAATGGTGTAGGATTGTAATGATCCTATAATTGAGACATAATATAAATTTGTATAATAAAATTGAGTATGCTCTTATTTGTCTGGGAGAAAGTCCTTTCTCTTTTATTGTTTGGCTCCTTGGGACAACTAGGCGAGCTCAAAATCTGAAATCTTGGGTTTAAATTCAATGTCCCAGAGAATGTTTACAGGTTTCACATCACAATAAATAATCCATTCTAGATACGAATAATGCTACATTTACACCATCTATTACACCATGATGTGGCATATCTCACATCCACACAAATTTTTAATTATTTTTAATTTTTAATATTATAATAAAATAATTATTAATAAAATAGTGATGGTGTAATGAAAATGATGTAATGGGTGATGTAAATGTAGCATTACTCTTCTAGATACTCATGGTAGAAATAGACTTGTCCCGTAGCTGTTTCCACGGCAACTTTGAACCTCTCTCTCCACCCAAGAAAATTTCCTGGAGAGAGTAAGTGTTTGTCCGGGGATAAATTTTCAGTATACTTATAGACTAAGAGTCTGACACTGGCTTCTGAATAGAGTCCCTGCATTCTCACCAAGTTCATCTGATAATTTTTCATAGTTTTAAGAGTGAATCATAATCAAAATGATGTTTTTGACCATTGAATTATGATTTGACCATGATCTAATGGTGTTATTCTTTGTCCGAATTTTTAAATCATGGTTTTAGCCATGATCACACAGGTAATGTTTTTACATAGGGTTTTTATGCTTTCCAAAGAGCATAAAAAAACCCTTTTATAATTATCAAAAACCTTTAAAATTATTAGAAATTTTTAGTAATCACCATTGAATTATGATTTGTAAGTCCACCAAGCTCTGTTCTCCAACCAGTGATAAGTACCGGTGCCGTAAGAAGCTCTTTTCTGATATCAGTATTTAAGTCTGTTGGTTTTCTAAAAATTGAAGATTATGGCATACATAATTACCACTAGGTAGTTCGACGGTTCGCGTGAGACTTTTGGATGTATTACTCAAGAGTTTCTGAGTTCGAATCCTCACGATTACTAATAAGGGGTAACTACTAAAGGCTTACCTAGCCGTTAACTTCAGAGCCTTGGAAGACTAGTTGAGGTGCAGTGCAAGGTGGCTCGGACACCCAAAAAAAGATTAGGGCATGCAACATTTAATAATCAAATCTACTAAAGTATATAATCACCATTAAAAATATCAGAAAACAAATTATGTCACTGAAACATTTAGGTCTAGACATGCACCGTAAAACGGCTGCAATATCCACTAATTAACTAAAAACATAGTCAGGCAACAGGATTTTGGACAAGCTCCATAAAAGAAAAAATTAATCTTTATATGATGGAGATCTACCTAGCATGCTTTGAGTAAAACCTTTACTAAATGTTCATTTAAAAGAAAAAAAAAAATGTGTATTTCCACAAAGATTATCTTAAAATTTCGTTCAGCTTAAACAACAAATGACAGATATTTAAAGAATATTTTATTTTTCGATTCACCTTAAATCAAAATCCTGGTTCCGTCAGTCTCAATTGAGCTGCTTAGCTACTTGGTAAGTGATTAAATGGAGACATGGTTCTTTGGCACCATTAAAGAAGAGGAAAAGGAAACCACCAGGATTGCTCAGGAACGCCCCAATGCTGCCACAAGGGAGGAATATTGGGGGGGGGGGGGGGGGGGGGGGGGGGTTTGTGTGGGTTCAAATCTAACTTGTTCCGAGTTCTGACCTAGGATAATAAGCTCATGGGAACAGTCTTAATTCACCACCGAAAAACAAAAGAAAACTTCCCTTTCCAGCAGATAGTAGAGGTTCTATCCAGCAATAGTTTTCTTGACCAAAGTAGAGAAGTTTCCATAGCAAACAAGGACATGTATGGTCTTACACAGCTCTAATTCCAATATTTCGGCCTCCCAGTTTTGAGAGAGGTCATCGTCCTCAAGCATAATATCGATTTTGTTTTGCAAATGCAAAAGTTACAATTCGAGCAATATATCCATGAACAAATATGTAGTCATTTCACTGACAAACATAATTGATGCACAATGCTTATAAGAAGAAGTGAGTAGAGAAATAAATGCAAGAGAATAAAATGTGCTTACATGAATGCTCTACCACAGGCTTTCATGGCAATGCATATTTCTCCGCCACTCAAAAGAAAATCTATAAAGTGAATGGAGTTACAGTTATGCAAAAAATTTGTTCACTAGTTAATAAAGATTCAACATCTTTGCTAGATCCTCTTTCCTAACTTGTTTCTGCACCAGACTCGCATTCAGAGCTCATTACATGCCATCCTCTCAACAAGTCCAAACACTTCCCTACTTAACAGAGCAACCTAAAATCAATGGAGTAAAATCAAACAAAGGCCCTTACTCACTTTTGGGAAGAAGCCTGCAGGCCTCAAACATCAGGGTCCAAAAAATCCCAAATAAATCCATCGAAATGATCAAAACCACCATCATGAAATTTCACATTGTGCATAAGATTATCATTAAGTAGCACCACTCTCGTGAGTCTTGCCTCTCTTTCTAACTAATACATTTCAAAAACACTTTTCTATAGTAACTAGATGGCTACTATCTTTAAGTTTTCAGATTATTTTGTAAAGGGTTCCAGTTTTCAAAGTGAATGGATAATTATGTCACCAAAACTGAATTCAACGAAACCTGCTTAAATTAGTGATAGCCTCAAGTATTTAATCTAAAATAAATCTGACTTACAATTGAAACTTTCAGAGACAAGAAACTTGCAAATTTATGAATGCAAAAACAATAACATAAACAGTGAGGGGTAGTGATTTCATGATACAAATACGTCAATAAAATACAATAAAGATATAATGATCACAAAGCACTAAACTGAATAGCATCATAGAGAGATGTGAATAAAAAATCGAGACAGATTAAGAAATACTGCTAATAAGAAAATTTGAAATAGAAAAACGTTCCTGACTTTATTTCCAGGACTTAAAAAGAACATGGGTATTGCGATTCTTGCTCCAGTTCACAAAACAGTTATTAATCAATCATCAACAAGCATAATACAATAAGAAAAGATAGACCATGCGCTTGAAAATATAACACAACATGGAATTCAACTACTTATCAGAACAAATGTGCTCCATAAAATTAAAACTCACTAGGCAAGTTTACAGATATCCTCATAATCAATTGCATTAAGTATTCTCCCATCATAGGCACCCTTCTCTATCTTCACCTTAGCACAGAATTTATCAGTATCAACTCCCAGCAACCTTGCATTTGAGCCACGATAAGCCCCATTCACAATCTTCACTAAACCACCAATTTGTGGAATGACAGTCTCCAGCTCATCCTGATCCACTCTCAGCACATGTTTGTTATCAAGCATCTCAATCTCCCCAACATACTTATCGATAACCTTCCTCACAACACCCTTCTGCTTATAGTATCCTTTTTTGGCCAAGGCTTTGCTCAGGACCTTGACAATAATGCCCTCACACAACCAATAATCTTTCCTGTTCATTTTTTCCTTGACCTTCTCTTCCTCTCTCATCATCTCCTCCAATGCAGAGTTTCCATTAGTTTTGTTGTTTTCTTTGCCAATCTTTCTTTTATTACTACTGTCAACCTCTTCAAAAACCAATTTACTGCTACTAACAATGCTGCTATTATCTTTGTTCACCAACGAGGATGATGAACCGAGAGAAAACCCTACCTTAACTCCAGCCTCCAAATTCAACTCCCTTGGGGGGTCTTCTCCCAAATTAGAATCAGATTTTGCAGTTGTTAATTGCTCTGATGCAGCAAGCTCAATCTGCTTCCTAATCTCCCTCTCTTGCTTCTCTTCCTCAACCATATCCAACTTAATCCTCTTATTTTTCATCCTCTCCTTGAAAAGGGTCTCGGAATCTCTATCGATATAGGTAATGAACCACCCTTTGGGTGTCTCCTCAACCTTACACTTACCAGTCCGTCCCAAATATTTAACAAACTCAGTCAAAGAAGTCCATGTAGTGGAATTCATATGAACGTGATGTCTATCATGGATGTACTCATTATAAACAACAGTAGCAGCCACACGACTAAAACGATGGCTGCGTTTCATGAGTTCGAGAAAAGTCTCCTCGAATTCTTCAGAATACCCATCAACAATGCGATCAGGGTTTTGCCCAAAGATTTGCATCTGGCGCTGGTGGCTTTCGCTCATGCAGTGGCATTTGAAACCGTTCTCATCTCGGCATTGCTTCTGACACATCTGGCAATACCATCTAAGCTTCTGCAATCCTTTCGCTTTAATTCTATTGGCAATTGCCTTTGGTGTCAAGAACTCATTCTTCCCCATTACTCGATTCACCAAAATAAAACTCACCTCAACCAACAAAGAGCCTTTGTATTTTATCTCTGCAAATACATCAATATAAGAATGAAGAACTGAAATTTAAAGCATATAAATACCTAATTTTCAGCTTATAAAGCTTCAAAATTATCATATAAAACACAGAAATAACTCTTATAAAACCCTAATTTCGGTTTTCAAAATTTCAAAAACTGAAAACTAGGGCTTCCAGAAACCGCAATTTCACCTTTCGAAAATCAATAATTTTACAGATTTCAATACAAATCTACTCTTTTACCTTGTTATTGTTCTGTTTTCGAGCAGCCCGCCCTTCTTCTCTTCGCTGTTACTCCTTCGTTCTTGGTCCAGCCGTTTCAAACCAGGCAAGATCCCTACAAGTTACAGACGTTAATGGAATCTGTTATGTCAAACGGTATTCTGTATGTAAAGACGAAAATACCCTTGACATCACAAGACACTAACGAAGGCACTGTAAATTGCACATTTGTTCAAAAATTAATAAATAAATAAAATCACCATTACAAATACACCCAGAATCTATATAAAATCAAAATCCCTTGATCTCTTCTTCACCAACAAACCCAAATAAACCCAGTCAGTACATCAATAACAAAACCAAAACTAACAATTCACCCAACTTCAAATTCATGGACATACCAACTCATAAAATTCTCTAGTCTTGTAGCGTCACGGACGACAACATATGAGTTTTAATAGAAAAAGATATATCGTCAAATAAAGGCTTTGAAATCGAAAAAAAATATCGATGGTTGTGGTGCATGACAAAGACATGGCCGAGGGAGGCAATAGCAGCTTATTGCCACCTATGCTTTCGATGAATATAGATATTAACGTAAATGTTCTCCCTATACTGTTAATAACGTCCGTTAGATTCAAGGGGTTAAATGTATTACTACTGTTTATGGTGAGCATTACAAGCCTTGAGAATTCTTTTAACTTCAATAAATCTAAAAGCTTCATCAAATGTGAAAAAAAAACCCCTTATTAGGGTGTTTATCATTTACTTTTATAATATGTTTTTTTGTTTTCTATTTTAGAAATAAATTAATACTTTTCGAATAACTTGGGTTTATTTATAATTTGTAATTGGTTTAATTTCAATATATTTTTTTGATACAATAAAACAAATTGGATTAGGATGGAGCTAATTTGTGCCTCTACTTTAGCTTGACAATAGTATCCTTAAAGCCTATTGTGTTAGGCTCAAAGGGCCTACAAATATAAAGCCGGATTCAACTAGATCAATGCAATTATTCTCCTAGTTCTCCTAGTTGAAAAAAAAAAAAAAAAAAAAAAAAAAAAAAAAAAAAAAAAAAAGCAGTCAAAGTTGGTCAACCAAATATAATGAGACCAAAACATGAAATTTTAGGTCAAACACTCTAGTAACATATTACGGGACACTTAGATTCAAATGTTTGACATAACAATGAAATGACTACACTGATAGCTCCATTTGTGTAATCGTAAATCCGTGCTTAACTTGATAGAAATTTGACACTCAAATTTTGTTTTTAGTGAACAATTTTCCAACGTCTACTGATTTCATTTTCTTGACATGATAGAGAATGTAAAAAAGAGTGAAAGTGGGAAGGGCCCATTCGGTAATTGCACTTTGGTTTAAAAAAATATATTTTTGTGTCTTTAATTTAACTAATTCAAAGGAAACTAGTATTGTTTAAAGAATGGAATGGCACAATATGTGGAATATGCGACATGGACTTCGTATTTTATTTCAATTTCACCTTTTAGCAGGCCCACCAGGGCCCAAAATTCAATTCTAGTTACCGGTAACCACTAACCACACATTTAAATTGATGAAAGCATCATGTTTGATTGAGTCAAAACGATAGTGACCCTTGGATCACGCGACTAAACTAAACAGACTATTCACTAATCACGAGACTAAAACCCTATAAATGACAAAACATTCAAACATCGTTTTCTACCCTTAACCCATACAGTGAACATAACCAAATAAATTAAGTAATTACGTCATTATACGATTTATTAAATCTTTTACACATACACCAGCAACAATACTTTTTTACAAAAATTATAAAACAATTTTAAGCCATTTGATCAAAGAAATTCAACGGTTAAGATTCAATTCAATACAATTGCATAATTAATACACTTTAAAAATACCTTATTAGATGTAATTTAAATTATTCAAGTGCATAATTCAATGGTTTGAAATTATATGAAGATGACACGTCATTTAGGATGTGAAAACTGCGATAATCATATTATTCATGTTTATTTTCTCGTTCATCACGATCGTCCGTATGTGAAATAAGAAAAGTAAAAGATAACCAAAGCACAGGAGGGGTACTAGTGAGTATTATAGTGAGACCAAAATTATTGTATTATTATTATTAATTTATTATTACTAAGAATTGATTTGTAAAAGCCGTTTTGATTTTGTTTTGGTTCCATTGCAGGCCTGACCTGACCAGGGAGAGAGAGAGAGAGAGAGAGTTCGGCCAAAAGTGCAAAATTATTTTCAAAACTCAAAGTTCAAAAAAATACACCTTAAAAAAATAATACAAAAAATTAAATTTTTTTTTTTTTTTCTGAAAATCTTATTCTAGTTTATTTTCATGTTACTCGCCATTTTGTGAATGGAATCCACAAACACTCTTATTTCCTTTCGATCTGTGAGTATATTTATTTCGACGCGTGATTCACCTTGGTTTTATTCCCTTTTGTGATTTTGAATCGGGTTGCGATTTTTGATTTTTTTGATTTTTGATTTGTGGAAATGGGTTTGAATCTTAGGGTTCGGGAGTGTTAGGGTTTGAAAGGCTAGGGTTTTGCTTGGACAACTATGGATCTTTGCATCGAGGGGATTTGATTTGTGGGGCTTTGAGGAATTTTTGTTTTAGGGTTTTTGTTTTTGGCGAGAAAATGTGCGAAATGGGAATGATTTATTGTTTTGATATTTGTATTTTGAGGTTATTTGGAGACATGAAAGCCTCATTAAATGAAAGTTTAGGTAATTTGGGTGGTGATATCGTGGTTGGTTAAGGTTTGAGTTGGCTTTGTTGTGTGTTGGCGTTTTGAGTTGGGTTTGGGAAAGATTACGAGGGTTGTCTCTGTTGAGGATAAAAAATTGTGGGAGAATTTATTTACTCGTTATATTTATTTTGATACAAATGCACCCCTGGTAAAGCTTTCAGTTTCTGTTTATCAGCCTAGTTGGATCAGTTTCTAGTTTGCGGAAGCCAGAACAACATGAAATATTGTTTTAGAAACTCTTTAGGAAAGGATACAGCATTAGGAAACAACATAACGAGATTTTGATTTATCAATAATTGTTCTCTTTGTGGGTTGTTTCAGGTTTGGTGCATTCTTCATTCTAGTACCTGCTTTTACAGTGGTAGTGGTTCATGATGGCGGACACAGGCTCGGTTGATGTGATTCTGGAGTTTTTGAGGAGAAATCGCTTTACAAGAGCTGAGGCAGCTTTGCGCAGTGAGCTCAGTAACCACCCTGATTTGAATGGCTTCCTTGAGAGACTTAACTTTGAAGAGAAGGACTCAACTGAGGTGTTGGCAGAGAAAAATGGGAGCAAACCGGCAAGTGAGAATCAAGGTTCAAGTTCACAAAATAGTGGTGAAATTTCTAAGGAACTCATTGTGAAAGAAATTGAGTGTGGGACTGGTAGAAATGGTTCTGAAAGCAAATGGAGAAATGCTGCTTCTAGTGGGGAACATAATAAGCTTAATGAGGCTATTGGGACTAATGAAAAGAGCTTCACTTTTTCCAAAGGTTCAGAGGACACTGTGCTGGATTTGTACTCTTGGAATAATTATAGTTCTAGCAATGGACCTTCCGATCCTCACCGAAAAGATGGTGGCAGTAGTACCAACAACTTCCCGGAGCTTCAGATTTCTGAACAGTCAAGATACCCTACAAATGAAGTTCCTGATTCTGGTAAAGTCAATTTGAAACCTCGGGATTTAGATTCAGTAGAAGAGATTCTCTTTCCTGGTGAAAAGAGGACTTCATGGGTTGAAAGTACTAGTGCCAATGTAGAATCCAAGTATGAAAGTTTTCATACAAGTGAATCACATCAACTTAAGACTGGTGTTACATACTCTAAAGAAAGCTTTGGGAACAACCCGTGGTCAAGAAATGAGGAATCGACAAATTCATCTTCAGATCTGTGGAAAGACTGTTCTGTCAAGACTGTTTTTCCATTCTCTAAGGGGGATGTGTCTACCAGTTATGACATCATTGCTGCTTCTGACAAAAAGGAAGGTAAGAAGAAAACAGATACAGTTGATGTGCGAGCTGCAATTAAGCAGCAGGTGGATGAGGTTGGAAGAGCTTTATACTATGGGAAATCTCAGGGGAATTCTGAGCAGAAGAATATAAGCAGTATAGGTTTTCCTCTAGCTTCTGATAATCCCAGGGAAGAGTTCCCTAGGCTGCCACCGGTTAAACTGAAGTCAGAGGACAAGCCATTGAATGTTAATTGGGATGAAAAATTTGACCGCGATGGACCAGGTGCAAAGCTCATTAGTGCTGATAGTACCTTACTTATAGGGTCATTTCTGGATGTTCCTATTGGACAAGAAATCAACTCTGCAGGTTTGTCATATGATAAAAGATTGGACAAATTTGCCTAGGTTCTCTACGAATATTGCTCTTTTTACTGTGTCCTTATTGGTAGATTATCTAGAGCACCTTTGCATTTACTTGATTGAACCTGTTATCACTTACCAGATTTCTGATCTGGTGTTTATTTTGGCTGGGAAAGTTATATTTATGGCTTAATTTTTGATTTCTGAAAAGAGAAATATATGTTATATTGAAAGTCTTTTCTTTGCATAGAGCTCAGTTATCTAATTTGTTGCTGTATAAGTCGTCGTTGACATTGGAAGACACCATCTAGTTTAGGTGGTAAAGCTTAGGGTTTCAAAAGATGATATATTGCGGGTTCTCTTGTGAATGACCAAAAAGAGAGAGAGAGAATGGAAGCATAGGCTAAACCTTGCTTGAAACAAAATGCTCCAAAAACCTTCAAACATCTGCTTCAGTCACATGCCACCTAGAAAAAGTATCAAAAAATAACAAAAACAAAACCTTTAATATTGTTCTTTTATGCAGCCAAAGGAGTTTTTTTTTCTCTCTTTTAGTTGTTTCCTGCGAAATTTCAATCTTGAGAATTAGTTTTTATTGTGGCATCCTTGTGCTATCTATTGAATTCAAGGTTTACATTCTTCTGAGATTGATTTTTATATATGAGGATTAAACTGATCTTTAATTCTTTTACTCAATGAAAATTCGAGTTATATGATGCCTAGTGCTCTCTCACTAATGGCATGCTCTTATTTTTTTTCTTCCTCCAGCTACCTTTCACCGTTCAAAGTTTTTGCTGTGTTCTTCTTTTTCATTGATCATTAAATGAGCCCCTAATACCTAAGTTCTTTATTTCAGCTCTAGTCCGATTAATTCTTAATCACCTCCAAATCAGCTTCTGTCTCATCACCTTCCCCTTGCAAAATATCCTTTAAAAGTGACCTACTTAATATCATTTACTTTAGTGCTTCTGGTAGTAAACTAATTATTTTTTATATGAAGCTATAATAATTGCATCTATGAATTTCATGGTAGTGTTTATTTTTACGGTGTTTGTATCTAAGTTCTTTTTATTTATTTATTCATTCACATTGAACATCTAAATGAAACACCTCTTGGGGAGGTTATTATTATTTTTGATATCTGATCACATTAAACTTATTGCATTACATGCTTAGCCTTTGATCCCCGCTAACTTTATTGTTGTAATACACACACATACACACCCATGGCAGATGAAGCAATGTCCTTTCACAGGATAAGAAACAAAGAAAATTGTTCAGGGAATCCCCATGCTTAGTATACTCGTTAAGGGGATTCCCTGGACAATTTTCTTTGTTTCTTATCCTGTGAGAGGACATTGCTTCATCTGTTATATTTACGTTCAACGTTTTATTTTCAATAAATTGTGACATCCATTAAATAAATGGGAACTTCTTAATTGCATCTGTTATGCACTTACATACTACATAGCAAATAATACTTGATAGCATATTACAGCCATTAAATATATGATTTTTTAGTTATTATATTATAAACAATAATAAAGATGCTTAGTGGTCACTAGTTATTCCCTCTTAGGTTTATACGGGACATGTTTAAGCAGAAGCATGCTCACTTGTTTTCTCCAGATTATTAGATCTGTGTGAATAGTTTTCATCAGCTTTCAGGATCCTGCATTAGGATATTCTCTACCTTTAATTTTTGTTCTGCGGTCATCTGTGAAATAACTTTTAATTTTTTGGTGATATAGGTGGAAAGAGGACTGGAGGAGGCAGTTGGTTGTCTGTAAGCCAGGGGATTGCGGAGGATACATCAGATTTGGTTTCTGGTTTTGCTACTATTGGTGATGGTTTGAGTGAATCTGTTGACTATCCACACGAGTATTGGGACTCAGACGAATATGATGATGATGATGATGTTGGATACATGAGACAACCTATTGAGGATGAGGCATGGTTTCTGGCTCATGAAATTGATTACCCCAGTGACAATGAAAAGGGAACAGGACATGGGAGTGTTCCAGATCCACAAGATAGAGGTCCGACAAAAGATGAGGACGATGATCAATCGTTTGCTGAGGAAGATTCATACTTTTCTGGTGAACAGTATTTTCAATCTAAAAATGTTGAACCGGTCACGGCTTCAGATGATCCGATTGGGTTGACAGTGACTGAAATGTATGAGAGGACTGATAATGATTTAATAGATCAATATGATGGACAGTTGATGGATGAAGAAGAGTTGAATTTGATGCGCTCAGAACCAGTCTGGCAGGGATTTGTTACTCAGACAAATGAACTCATCATGTTAGGAGATGGGAAAGTTCTAAATGAGTGTGTTAGACCGCGGTTAGATGATATATGCATGGATGATGATCAGCATGGTTCTGTTCGGTCAATTGGTGTGGGAATCAACAGCGATGCAGCTGAAATGGGCAGTGAAGTACGGGAAAGCTTGCTTGGAGGTAGTAGTGAAGGGGATCTGGAGTATTTTCGTGATCGTGATCGTGATGTTGGAATTGGTGGCTCCAGACTGTCTCATCATGAATCTGACAAGAAATATATTGACAGAGCAAGCAGGGATAAAAAGAAAATCAGTAAACAGGATTCCAGTAAATATGTGGTTATGAATGATAAAGGAACATGCGCAAAGGTGAAAAATCTTACTGATGTGGGATTTTCGTTTCCTCCCCCACTAAGAGATGGGCAGTCGGTGCAGGCCAGCTCTAGTAAATCATTATGGTCAAACAACTGTGATCCTGTTATTAGTGATGAAACTGATGAACGGTTGAATGCATTGATGGGGCCTGATGACATGCTTACAACATGGAGGCAGAAAAGCAGTGATTCTTCAACTGTTAAAAGTTCTAGGGATGAAAATAATGCAAGTGCTGTAAGATCAGAAAATTCTTCTCCCTCAACTCTTTCAAACTATGGTTATAGTGAACGAGAGCATGTCAAGAGAGAAGAGGATGAAAAAATTAGTGCTCTAAGGGAAGAAGATCCGGGAGTGTCACTTGAAGATGAAGAGGCAGCTGCTGTCCAAGAGCAAGTGAGGCAAATAAAGGCTCAGGAGGAGGAATTTGAGACTTTTAATCTCAAGATTGTGCATAGGAAAAACAGGCATGTCTCTTACAAATACATTTTACTTGTCAATTCCTTGATCATGTTATTTGCTGGTGATTTTGCATACATGGTTGCTGGATTTACATCTAGATTGAACTTTAAAATGCTGTTGCTCAAAAGTTATGATTTTCTTTTTACTATTATTTTGTAGGTTTTAAATTGATGTACTTTGAAATACTCTCTTATTTTCTCTAATTTCCTAACATATCAACAGCATCCTCAAGTATCTCTGATAATAATCTACCGTAATTGTTGTACATGTCTGATGATTGCTGGGTGGGCCCTTGCTGGTTGTGTATCTCCTTGTACCCTTGTACAGTTAACGGAGACTTTCCCATGCACCAAGATTCATGCACTGACTAGTCAACCATGGAAACAGGGATAGAGATGTTATAAATGGAGAAAGGATGATATGAGTTTGAGCTTCTTGGTTAGCTAATCATGTATTGACTTAGCTAATCATGTATTGACTTGCCTTGTTGCATCTAAACCTTTTGTCAAGTGTTCATTCGATGGTGCTTTTGCCTTCGTATTTTTCTGTTTTTGCTGGGATCTTCATGAGCTTTCCATTTTGGTGAATTATATTTTGATATTTAATTTGCAAAAACATGAGCAGTTTTTTTTTTTCTTAAAGGGACCTGCATCTGTTTTCTGGTTGGTGAATGTAGGATAAAGAGGCAGATTTTTTTTTTTTTTTTCTTTTTCTTTTAAGAAGGATCTTCTTTAAGTAGTGATAGAATGTCTTCCTATTGGAGGTAATTGATTTGTAAATTTTCTAAGGAAGTATGATATGCAAACTTTTATTTATTTATTTTTAAATTTCAAGGTATTGTGTAGATATTACCCCTTTTCTGATTTGCTGTTTTCTTTGTGCATACTTAGTCTATGTACCTGTCTAATTTTCATCCTTTAACATAGTTCAGCAGCTTCTTGAGAATAAAAGGTAGGGTTGTGCTCTGTGCTGGTGGAGAGGACCCTCTCCTGCAGGAGGAAGGGATGATTTAGAAGTGTTTTAGTTACCCTTTTTTTTATTTCTCTTTAATACTCTTAAGTAAATGACTCTCTTCTATACCAAAATACTTGATCTCTTCAACTGTTGTCATGTATACTCCGGTGAAAAGAATCGCTTATTTAACATTTTAGATAGACATTCATGCTTTGTGTGTGGTGACAGCTGTGCTCTTTATGTGGTAAACTGCTGCTATTAGCTCGTTTGATTCCAATGGATTTTTTTGCCTGAACTACTTGTCTTTGTTCTCAGAACTGGCTTTGAGGAGGACAAGAACTTTCATGTTGTTTTAAATTCTGTTATAGCTGGTCGCTATCACGTTACGGAGTATCTTGGATCTGCTGCTTTTAGCAAAGCTATACAAGCACATGACCTGCATACAGGCATGGATGTTTGTGTGAAAATCATAAAAAACAACAAGGATTTTTTTGATCAGAGCCTTGATGAGATAAAGCTCCTCAAGTATGTCAACAAGCATGATCCTGCAGACAGATACCACCTTTTGCGATTATACGATTACTTCTACTATCGAGTATGTAGAGTTATGCTCTGATTGTAATGTCAATGCTCCTTTTAACTTTCTCCATGTCCATATACTTGTGCTTATGCCTTTATTTTGTTTTTACTGTTTTTTTTTTTTTTGTCTATTTATCTATTAACATTTCACTTATCACTAAGAATTGGAGTGAGATTTGTTCCATGCTAATACCAACAACCCCTTGGGTTGTCTTGAGTGGTGAAGGCCTTCGGTTTCAAGAAAGAGGTAATGGGCACAATTCCCCTTGGAGCTGGCAACTTGGGATATTATATCCTGCCTGCTTGTTCTTGACTATCAAGATTTAGGGTCCTGCAAAAATCCTCAGATTAGAATTCATTCCCTTACCAAAAGTCAAGGAAATTCAGGGTATCCAAAAAGAGAAAAAAAAATACAAATTCTGATCTCCCTATATGTGTGGTCATGTAGTGCGGACTTTCAAGACAATACATCTCACTACACTTCTTCCCAAGTTTGATAATTTAATTTTTCATCAGTGCTTTAACAGTTGTCCTAGTCGTAAAGGACGTTGTTCGGTTAATGTATTATCATTCACTCTCTCATCCTGATTTCAATGTATTGCATTTTGTTCTTGTATTTAGAATTGGAGAATGGTTATTATATGAACATTTCTGAACTGATTGAAACTATAAACTGACTGCTACTTGTCATTCTCTTACTGCGTGCATGTTTCTATTAGTTTACTTATTTGCTGGAGGTGAATGGTTCTTAGAGCAAAATATGTTAAATATTATTGATGCTCTTAGTGGGATGTGGTATGTGGTATGTATGCAATAAATTATTCTGTGAGAAGTGCATGCTGAATTAATTATTAGCTGACTTCCTGTTATTTTGTAGGAGCATTTGTTGATAGTGTGTGAACTTTTGAAGGCAAACTTGTATGAGTTTCATAAATTTAATAGAGAGTCAGGAGGGGAGGTCTACTTCACAATGCCGAGGTTGCAGGTCAGTTGGTTTCTATTTTCACTGCCACAGTATTTCATTTATTTTTCCTGATGGTTTGTAATCTCTTGAAATATCTTCTCTGCAGTCGATTACTATCCAATGTTTGGAAGCTCTTCAGTTCTTGCATGGTCTTGGCCTTATACATTGTGATCTGAAGCCTGAAAATATATTAGTGAAAAGTTATAGTAGATGTGAGGTGAAGGTCATTGATCTTGGGAGTAGCTGTTTTGAGACAGATCATCTATGCTCCTATGTTCAATCAAGATCCTATCGTGCTCCAGAGGTTATCCTGGGGCTTCCATATGATAAAAAGATAGACATATGGTCTCTTGGCTGCATATTAGCGGAACTTTGTACTGGAAATGTAAGTATAAGCCTTTCAGAGACACTAATTATTATTATTTCCTTTATTGTGTGTGAAGTATGAATCATAAGATGCGATAAGTTTCTTACGCGTCAATTTGATAGTGGTAAAGGTGCTGATGAGATACCAATGATTCATGGTCAGAAGTGTTGTAACTGGCTGGAAATTTTGTCCTTAAGGCTTTTTTTTTTAAATTTTTTTATCTTCTCTTTTTGAGAATATAATTTCTGATAGTTGGTATTCATTTATGAAATACTGATTGTGAAACTAATTTATTTGCCTCGCTTGAACTAAATTTTGTCTTGAAATGCTTGTTTGTTAGGTTGTTGTTGCATTGATTTTTTCTCATATGGCCTTGACAGAGACACATGTGTGTTTCGTGGGAATAAATTGTGATATTACACTCAGATTAAATTCTAATGTGATTCTTGCATTTTCTATTTTGAATAATTTTTTAGTCAGGGACTTGGATTATCTGAAGTATATATATCTTCTGTTTGCCTGTGTAATTTCCAAGCCAGTTGAAATGCATGATACAATGAGCATATCTGTAATTATTTCACCTGAGTTTTTATTATTAGTTGTACTAGTTAGGGCAATTTGGTTATGAGTGAAAACTTTCCTGGATGTAGGTCCTTTTCCAAAATGATTCCCCTGCAACGTTACTCGCACGGGTGATTGGAATCATCGGCCCCATTGAACAAAGCATGCTTGCCAAAGGACGGGATACATACAAATATTTTAGTAAAAATCACATGCTTTATGAACGGAATCAGGTAACAACCGCACTGGTTTTGAATACTTTTATGAATATGCTATTATTATGCATCTACACGCAATATTTATTTGTCATTCCAAAAAGACAAGTCTTTACTACATAATGTCTTTGCAAGCTTGTGATTTTGTAATGTGTGCTAAAAGTGATTGTGTCTGGTTGACTGGGCATGCTGGAGTTATCTGTTTGCCTAAATAATGAATTATTGCTTGCCTTCCTCCTGCCATGTGTTAGCAGAGGTACCTGAGCTTTGAAGAGATTTATGAATTTTTTTTTACACCATATGATTAGCTGCCTGCCTTAATTTTTGATTGCCCATGTGTTGATTCAATACCTTCATATTCCTGTATCATCTCCGCATCATTAGTCTTGATTATGATGTTTTGTATAACATTCTTTTTTCACTATTTTTAACTTCTGTGAGTGTCCTGAACTCTGATTACCCTACTTACCATAACACTTGCTTTAGCAATCTGTTCAGAATATTATGACAGTATAGTGCCCTGAGGCAAATGAGACATTCAACAACTTCTTGCACATCTACCACTTTCTGTTTAATGTTGAAGGAAAAAGTTTAAGATAGCATTTGAGGGGACAAGATATTTTTGTTCACCTGGATACCTGTTTAGCAAAAGTTTCACTCGAAGCATGATAATAGAACTCAGTCATCCAATTATTTATTTTCTTTGATGGAGCATTTTCCTACCGAGTGTTTGTTAAAGTATTATTATTGTCATATTTGTCTGACTGCATTCTAGTCAATTGTTTGATACAGAAATTCTTTTACAGTGCTTGTCTTATCAAATTGTATGTGTAAATAACATGGTCCTTGCCATACTCTTTTAATTCTTCAGGAAACCAACAGACTTGAATACCTGATACCGAAAAAGACATCCTTACGGCACCGATTGCCAATGGGAGATCAGGGCTTCATCGACTTTGTAGCTCATTTGCTTGAAGTAAATCCTAAGAAGCGCCCTTCTGCATTGGAGGCTCTGAAGCACCCGTGGCTATCATACCCTTATGAACCCATATCAGCTTGATCCATCAGAAAACTCTCTTGGTGAAGACATTTTGCTGCTGCCCTCAAGTGTTTTGGGGTTTTGGGTGTTTGTCTTTTCGAGGGGGAAGGAGCCACATTTGATTACTAACTCAAATCGGTCATCTATTTAAAAAGTGATCTTCAACGGTTTTTTCCGGCCCTTCACACATGCCAACACAAAGCGGTTGAAAGGTGTGTTTGAATGTTGGTGATGTATGATTTTCCTTCCCCTTACCATTAACAAGTTGTATTTCTTCAATTTGCCATTATCAAGAATGTAATTTTGCACGTACCGTGTAATTTAGGGATTCCTTCATCGCGCTTTGTTTGATGTGGTGGTAGGGGAATCTTGTTGTACATGATGTGTGATAATTCTTTTAGGTTATTTAGTAATAGCTTGTGAAATAGCTGCTGCTTATCCAATTTTGATTGGCTTTTGACAAATTTTTTTACTGCTCTATATCAAAAGCTTGGAGCAGCAAGCCCAGTGAGAACCTATCATTTGTGTGCCTTCTCTGGTATTGTTGTATCACCTGGGCTCTCTTGACATCCTTTGGCATATCATGCCATTATTCCACCTAAAAATTTAGTTGACATCGTTGAGCTTTGGGTTAATTTTTAGTTTATTACATAAGAGCATAACCTAATATGACACTAATGTAAGATTTTTATATAACCTATTTTGGATCTTTCTAATTTTCTTGTGATTTTACCTCGTCCATTCTTATTATAGTTTGTGCAGAAAATTTTTGAGATAGATTGAGATACGTTGGTAGAGAGAGTTATGGACTATTAGATACAAGGGTTGAGTGGATCATAATCACAAGATGTTTTCGACCATTGAATTATGATTTGTAAGTTGATTTGACGATGATCTAGTGGTGTTATTCTTCGTCCAAATCATTGAATCATGGTTTAAGCCATGATCACATGGGTAATGTTTTTACATAAGGTTTTTATGCTTTTCGAAAAGCATAAAAAAGCCCTTTTATAATTATAAAAAATCCTAAAAATTATTAAAAATTTATATTGCAGGGTTTATAATGAATATAATAAGAATTTGAAAAAGTTTAGTTGCCCTTCAAAATTCAAATTAAACAATTTCGCTAGGGGTTGAAAGTTGAAACCTTATTATAAGATGACATTATTTGATGTATCAATTGGCATGGACATGTCTTAACATTTAATGAACATGTGCAAGCAGCTATAAATTTAATTCCATCATTAAAGTCTCAATCATTCGATATATGAATTCACCCCCATTTAAAGAGGAGTTGGTGGGTTCAAATAGAGTATTGAAGGAGCATAACCTTTTTTTTTCCATATCTTATAACAAATCATATGCTTTTTATAGTTTCTCTTCTTTACAAAACCCATAGATTAAGATGGAATATGTCATAACGTTTGAAATTAGGTCTTTTTGATGCAACTTTCTAAATATCTACCAAGCAATTTCGATCATTCCATTTTTATACAACCCATCAATGAGGCTGCTAAAGATTTCAATATTAACTTCAAACTCGTAGTTCTCTAAAGTACGAAAAAATTTTGCTGCCTCGAGAACATAATCGTTCTTGCATAGCCCATCAATCAAAATACAATACGTACTTGAATTCGGTGCAACATTATTAAGTTTCATCTTGCCAAATAGTTTTTGGGCATCTTCAAACTGTATTTGTTAGAAAAAGACTAGTTAACAAACTATTATATGTAGGAAATGTTGGTCTAATTCCTTTTGAAATCATTTTCATGCGAAGATTCATAGCATTCTCTAGTTTCCTATTCAAGCAATAACCATCGATGAAAGTGTTATAAGTACATGTGTTTGGTTCTAATTATTGATTAGATCAAATCCAATATTGAACTAAAATCTAACTAGATTCAACTTCAATTAGTTTTGACAATACTCTTATTAAGTTCCTCATACAAAATTGGGATAAAAAACTTAACGTAAACCTGGGCATTTGGGATCAACCCCAAAAAACGGGTCCTAGGACCGTTCTTACGAGGCCTAGTCCCAAACCCGGACCATGCCCTTAGAGGAGGGACCGATCCCTAGATCGGGCCCTCCTCCAAGGTGCGGGCCTGGGACCCCAAACCCCTTTGCATTTTTTTAAAAAAGTCCTCTGAAAAAATCTAAAACCCCCTATAATTTTGAAATTGACAAAAATATTGAGGGTTAAATAATATTTTACAAAATTTAGGGGTGCAAAGAGATTTTTTAGGCCCCTCAAAATTATTAAACCACCCTACATAATTTTGTTTAACCCCAAATATAAAAAAAAGTTGTGGATGGAACAAAATTTTCCAAGCCTGTGGGTCCGGGCCTACATTATTTTATCCTTGTTACACAAGGATGAAAGTAAATCTAAGTACATTTAATATCCACTGATGAAAGTAAAAGAATAATCTTGAATACAATGAAGCATTACAATTGACTATTGAATCTAGGGCTGGTCTCTTGTTTCTTTCTTCACACAAGATTATCCCAATTTCAACCAATTTTGCAGCCTGGTTTTTGCTAGACTTTCCTTTTAATTCTTGTCACTTAGCTTCCTGCTCCTCATCACCTTCCTCTACCATCAGATTCGAAACTCAAATTGCTTTCACCATTTCAAGAATCATCACTCCGTAGCTATAAACATCAATCTTGGAAGTGATACGAAGATTCATAGCCTACTTTGGAGCCGTGTAACCCTTTGTACCGCTAATCCTGGAGGCTTCTAAAGTTTGTTTGCCTCTCGGGGACAACTTGGCCAGCCCAAAATCTGAAATCTTGGATTCAAATTCACTGTCCAGGAGAATGTTTACAGGTTTCACATCACAATAAATTACCCATTCTAAACACTCATGGTGAAGATAGACTAAGCCCTCAGCTGTTCTCACAGCAACATTGAACCTCTTTTTCCATCTAAGAAAATTTTTTAAAAATAATATCCAAAAAAGAATATGAAACAATTATGTATATATAAAAAAATGTGACCAAATGTTTCCGAGAGATAAATTCAATTGCATAAAGAACAAGTTAGAAATAGTCAGAAACTATATATGAAAAATTTTATATGTACCTTTCACAAAACTTGTCAATTTGAAGGCCATAAATGATTATTATGGTAAATTAAAACTTCTTAATTTTTTTTTTTATTTGAATCAAAAGAAAAAGTATTAGACGCAGAGTTAATATCCCAACTGATGTAACAATTTATTTATCGGTATCACATTTACGATATAAAATACAAACTTTATTTCAAAACCCCAAAAATATAACATTATTAACATAGCTTATGATTAAAATCTAAAATAGAACTCATTTACTAGCTTGTGAAGCTAGTATAGTTTGCCTAAAATTCTTGAAGAAGTCAACCAATTGATCTCTTGGTGGCATAGTCTCTTTGACAAAAGGGTACTCAAGATAATTGAGCACCCATTTGGCAAGACAAGGGAATTTTTCAGAATAAAATATTTGAACATTTGAAGCTTCTTCAATGACCCCCAACCATGGGCTAATCCATCCCAAAGTTATGTCAATTAACCCAATTGTGTCTCCTCCAAATAATTTCTTCCCTTTGACCTCTTCTTCAAGCACTTCTAGGGCTTCTTTTGCTTGCTTCACTGCCTCCTCTTGTTGCTCGCCTTCCGAAAATAGGATTTTTCTTATCACTTCTATCAACTGAAATAACATCGTCGATAATTATTATTGAAGTGATTTAAATGAATGTTTTATATGTTTTAATACATGATCTTAGACATTTTTTTTTTAATAATTAAAACATAATTTATGTAAATCTAATAATAAAACATTATGCTCCGATAAGAAAACATTTTTTGACTATATAATCTTAAAACTATAACTAAACCAGAAAACAAATTTAAAAAAAAAAAAAAAACGATTACTCATAGTTTTCTATAATTTTCAACTTTGAAAACAGTTTTAAATATAAGCAAATTCTTGAATAGATCTAAGTTTTTAAAAATTATTTTCGGATCACCAACCGAAACGATCATTAATCATTAGTAATGAGAAACAACTTTTAAAAAAAAAAAATAAAAAAGAAAAGAAGAAAAGATATACCTTCTCATCTATAAACTTAGCCCAGAATCTTGCTACAGCTTTGTCACTGGGATCCTGAGGCAAAATGGGGTTGAGTTTCCAGGTTTCATCAATGTACTCAACAATAACAAGTGATTCACAGATGGATTTTTCATTATGGAGGAGGACTGGGATTTTCTTGTGGACTGGATTTGACTTGAGAAGGAGAGGGCTCTTGTTGAAAATATCTTCTTCCACAGCTACATATTTTACTCCTTTCAGCTTCAGTGCCAACTCAACCCTTTGAGCAAAAGGGCTGAACCAGGCTCCCAGTAGCTTCACTCCTTGCTCTCCTGCCATACTTTTCTCTCTCTTTGTTTCTTGCCTTCTGAGTTCTAACACTGCCCAAGTAAAGATATATATGGCCGGGTGAGAGATATTATTGCTGTTTCAATCTGTGGCCGAGAAGAAATTTTCGAGTGGGGCACCATAAGAATGTGATTAAATTATGGAAAATGAGTTAATTGAATGGATAAAGGAAAGAAACATTCAAGGGGCGGACCCACACGGGGTCACGTGGGGTCAAGTGACCCCACCTGAGTTTTATTTTATTTTTTTATAGTTTTTTTTTTTTTTTTAATTTTGTCTCATAACAAAACTAAATTGCAAAATTATAGTAAACTAAATTAATTAAAAAATTTGACTTTTTCTAATAATTTTTTTTTTTTTTTCTCAATCCCAACTTTTTCTCTTGCCTAAGGTGGCCTACTTCAACTCTCTAATCCCTATTTTTCTCTTCCCCACCCTAGCATGCCCAACCACTCAATTGAAGAATCGTCACTATTTTCATAATCTCTTTTAATAATAAGAATATTTGTTGATTTCCTTTTTTAACTTGATTTAATTATTGAGTTTTGTTTAATTAATTTCATTTAAGTTCTCTAGAATGTCCTTTATAGTGTTGTGCTCATGGGTAATTTTGATTGACTTTCTCTATGTTTTTTCAAGCACGTATATTATTATTTTTTTCTGTATAAATGGTGAGGTTGTTGGCATGTTGTTGTAGTTTTGTGTTTGGCTGGCTACTACTTTTTATCTTTTAAGCGTATTTTAATTTATTGAGCTGCCAAGCAAGAGCAAGAAATAGGTTGTTGACTTGTTCTTGTATCAAGAAGACAATAACTCTCAATAAAGAAAAATTAATTTTACTGGAAAAAAAATGATGAAGCAAAAAAAAAAAAAAAAAAATTAAAGCTTTTATAATTAAATTTCTTTTGTTGTTTTGATTTATAACATTAGAATGAATTTATGCTATTCGAACTATATGTAACTTCAAATCATGAATATGAGATTAAACAATGATATACAATTGAAATGGGCAAATTAGCTGAATTTACATACAGTTTACAGACACGTTTAATGGCTTGTAGATCAAGCATTTTTGTAAAATACTATTGATTTTGAGTTCTTGCTTAATTTCTTACTACAGTTTAAGTTCATTTATTTAACTTTAATGTTTAAAATTATTATAAATATTAGTTTAGTTTATATTGAGCATATAATTTATTTGTTGCATTTTTTTTAATCAAGTAATAATATATTGTTGTTTGGAAATAGTATGGAGAGATATTTCAAAAGGAAGTCAACAATGATCTCATCATCTCAACAAGAGGAAAATATTGATGATTCAAGAAAAAATGTGGATGTTGCTTTGCGAGATCTTCCTATGGATCTAGGTTTACATCCCCGAATTTTAGTTATGATCCTAATATTCAAGATCAAATCCGAAAAGTATATTTGAAAATGGATCATTGTCAACCTAAAGGCCATGAATTTCCTTTTAGAGATTTTGGTGGATTTTCAAGAAGATTTGTTGTTTCTTGGTTTGGTGAATTTGATCAATGGTTGGAATATAGTATAGCGAAAGACGCAAGATTTTGTCTTTGTTGCTATCTTTTTAGGTTAAATGTTGGTGATAAAGGGGGTGGTGATCACTTTGGGTCAAGGGTTTTCAAATTCGAAAAAGAAAGAAAGATTGAATGTTCATGCTAGAAGTGCTGCTCATAACCAAGCTCGAAGAATGTGTGAATCATTAATGTATTAAGACCAACACATTCATACATTTTTTGATAGACACTCTTTTAAAGCACGAATTGAGTACCGAACTCATTTAAATGCTACAGTTGACTGTGTTTGTTATCTTCTAAGGCAAAGACTCCCATTTCGTGGTCATGATGAATCCTATGATTCAAACAACCAAAAGAATTTTCTTGAGCTTCTACAATTTCTTGCTAATCATAATGAAGATGTCTATGCTGTTGCATTCAAGAATGCTCCTGACAATTCCAAATTAACATCACCTAAGATTTGGAAAGATATTGTAAGTGTGGTTGCAAGTGAAACTGTAAATGTTATCATTAGAGATTTAGGAGATTCATGATTCTTTATATTGATTGATAAATCTCGTGATATCTCTACGAATGAACAAATGGCTATTGTCTTGCGTTATGTTAACTAGAATGGCCTTGTTGTGGAGCATTTTGTAGGTGTTGAGCACGTTACTAGTACTACAATTCTCTCACTCAAGATGACACTTGACAATTTTTTTTTCTAGGCATGAGTTAAGTTTTTCTAGACTGCAAGGACAAGGTTATGACGGAGCTAGTAATATGTAAGGATAATTTAATCACTTGAAGACATTGATTTTGAAAGAGAGTGGATATGCTTATTATATTCATTGTTTTGTCCATCAACTCCAGTTGGCTCTTATGGCTTTAGCAAAGAGTCAAGATGATGTTAATGATCTCTTTAATATTGTGGCCATTATAGTTAATATTGCTGGTGCTTCATCACAATGTTACGATGTTTTTAGAGATAAGCAAGCTAGTAAAGTTATTGAAACTCTTTCTAATGGTGAACTTTCAAGTGAAAGGGCCTTAATCAAGAGATAAATTTGAAACATGTTGGTGACACACGTTGGAGCTCGCATTATGGTATATTAATGAGCATAATCTTGTTGTTCTCATCCATTATCAATGTTCTTGAAATTGTGGCAAAAGATGGGACAAACTCTGAGCAAAGATTTCAGTCAAGAAATATATTGAAATTGATGCAATCATTTAATTTTGTGTTTAGTCTATTTATGATGAAAGATTTGAACGAAATAGAGACAACAACAGGAACAAAATATAATAGTAAAACAAATCAAACAGTAAACAAAGAAAAATAATACGCGCGATTTACCCTGGTTCACCCAATGTAGGCTATGTCCAGCTGAGTCAATATTATTGCAATATGTCTTACCTCTCTCGTTTACAATGAATGAATTGCTTTAACACTCATAACAAGAGAAAAGTATGTTTATATACTAGGTTTAAGAGATTAAACCTAGTTTTACAAGGATTCCTATTCCTAAGCTCAACCCAAAAAGGAATTAATAACTTAAAAGAAATCCTACAGCGGTTATACATGGAAAAGCCCAAAACTGCCTACGGGCTCGGGGGCGCTGCCCCCGCGACCCCCACCCGCTCACCGAGTGCGTCTCCGTTACCCATTAATGTTGAAGTAGTCGACAACTCCAACAAGATTTACTTAGCTTTACAAATAAACTTTCTCAAGCACTACAAAGAAAAGATCAAAATATTGTAAATGCTATGAATTTAGTTGAAGCGTGTAAGCAAGCTTTACAATTGATGAGGGATAGTGGATGGGAGAACTTACTTAAAAAAGTTTGTTCTTTTTGTGCCAAACATGACATTGATATTCCAAATATGGATGACAAAATTTTTATTCAAGGGCAATCACAATGGAAGACTAAAGGTATCACAAACAAGCATCATTACCGTATTGAAGTATTTTATAGTGTCCTAGATGTGCAGCTTCAAGAGTCGAACAATCGTTTCAATAAGGTAAACACTGAATTACTTATTTGTTTGGCATGCTTATATCCAAATGAAAATTTTGTTGCTTTTAACAAGCAAAAATTGATGCGCCTGGTTGAACTTTATCTAGAAGATTTTTCTGACTTAGAACTCATGGCACTTGATTCTCAATTTGATATTTATATTTTGGATGTACGTTATAATGTCAAATTTATGGAATTAAATGGGATTGGAGATCTTGTAAGAGTGATGGTTGAAACTAAGAAGGATGAAGTTTTTCCATTAGTTTATCTGTTGATAAAATTAACATTGATTTTATCGGTTGCCACTACTAATGTAGAGAGAGCATTTTTACCAATAAATATTGTGAAGAATCATTTGCGAAATAGAATGAGTGATCAATGATTGAATGATAGTTTAGTTGTGTATATAGAGAATAATATATTTGATAGTATTGATAATGAAGTCATTATACAATATTTTCAAAAAATGAAATCTCGTCGAAGACAATTATAAATGTATTAGTTAATGAGAATTTCATTAATACAAATATTTGTATTTATTTATATTTATATTAATTATTACTTCAACCTTTGACTCCGTAAGTTTTTTTCCGGGGTCCACCCCTGCATGTATATATAACATGCGAGGGGAAAGAAAAAACAGAAAAGAAAGGCCATGACAAAGTTTATAGAAAAATAAGAGTTATGTTGATTGCACGAATCTCTTCAAGTTGCCAGTGTCATATTCCACGCTGCCAGTTAATGGAGTTTGGTTTAGTTTATATGACTTTGAATCCTCTTAATTAAATAGACACGTTTTGAGTGGAAGATGTTTGTAATTTGGTTTTGAGACTTGGATCTTTTAATCTCAATGGAAGGTCACGTATCTTTCTACTTTTGGCTTGCTCTATATGCAATTAAAGAGTGGTCCCTGTGACATCCTGGAAATATTTCAACTTGTTATATATAGCTATAAAATTTTATGATATGCAGGCTGTTTTATTATCACATTGCGAAAGCTCTAATAAATTTGAACTTGTTTTATACGAAATTAAAGTTGTGGTCTAACTATAGCCTCTTTGGCTTTTGGCTCCATTATACTGATTATGAAATTTCTCACATGCATGCAGGAAGAAAGTTGAATTGTAGTTGGAAAATTCTAGTTAGCTTGGAAGAAAGTTGAATTGTAGTGATGGGAAAATTCTAGTTAACTTGAAAGAAAGTTGAACTGTAGTTGGAAAAATTTTAAGCCAAGGTTTTATTTAAACGATACTGTGTGCCGTTCCAAGTCGTTGGAGACAATGGAATGGGATGTATCAAGATTGAATGGAAAGTTTAGCAGAAATCAAGCTGAAAAACTGGTTAAATATGCACATCATGTCTTGAGGAAGAGAAGAAAGAGATCAAGATTGAAACACCCAAACCCATTGTCAGGATATTGTGGATTTATCTTATATTCACTTCAAATAGCAGGGCTTAGAGGGTCTCCCTTAACTCATGACTTTATCATTAGAAACGAATTAAGAGTACCAATAGTTGTCGGATTGTCACTCCTGATTCCTTTCTAAGGATA